CCTGGCTCTGCCTCCCGAGTGCTGGGATTAAAGGCGTGTGCCACCAACGCCCGGCTCTAAAGATATATTTTTTATTGTATTTTATATATATGTATCTGCATGTAAGTATGTCACTTGCATGCAGTGCCCTTGGAGACCAGTAGAGGGAGTAAGATTCCCTGGAACTGGAGTTTGATCCTGTGAGCAATAAAAGCATGGCTCTTTTTGAGCTTGTGCTCCTGTGAAGGAAAGTTCAAGAATCTTGTTTCAAAACCAGACATAGACAGAGGCAGGTGGATCTCCGTGAGTTTGAGGCCAGCCTGGTCTACAAAGTGAGTTTCAGGACAGCCAGAGCTACACAGAGAAACCCTGTCTAGGAAACACACACACAAACACACACACACACACACACACACACACACACACACACACACACACACACATGACACAAGAAAAAAGAGCTGCCTCTGAACATGAATAATGTTGAGATGGTAGAAAAAAGAACCACAACAAGCAGAGAAAACACCACTCCCTAATCAATAATGCCCTACGAACTATGATTCCCATTCCCATTCTATTCCCAGCAACAGTGGCCAGGAACACTCTGATGGAAAGAACATCACACCAGTACTAAGCAAGGCTGCAAAGAATGCAGTGATTGATTAGTGCTGTCTGCCTCAGGCACAGGAATGGAAAGAGGTAGAGCGCTTGTTGTCTGTGCCCTAAACTCAACAACTCTCTAGAGTCTCCATAGTCTCTGTTGATCTTTCTGTTTCATTCAAACATTTTTATATCGATGAGAACATCATCACAGATATGGATGTTACAAAGGACTGTTTTTAGCTGTTCATTCAGCTGTGGAGATACAATTTGTAAATAAAACTATCTCCTTGCAAGGGGACCAGCCACCCACAGCAGTCATAAGATAGGGCATGCCACCCTCTTACCTGGCCAAAGACAAAGCAGTACAATGTCACACCCATGGCCCAAACATCCAAGGCCTGCAAGAAAAAGAGAGATCAGTGTGATACACAACATGATTTTGCACGTCCGATAACTAAGTCTCCAACCTCCTTGGGGACCACCTTTTCTTCTTCTTCTTCTTCTTCTTCTTCTTCTTCTTCTTCTTCTTCTTCTTCTTCTTCTTCTTCTTCTTCTTCTTCT